AGCGCAGTGTTAGTGCAACGTTCAACTCTAAATCCCATTCAGTCACGACATCGGCATTTAGTACGTTGTCAGATTCAGCCACCGCCTTTTTACCGACATCAATGCCTTCTTGGAATTTAAGCTCGGCGGCGGTAGTCATTTCTTGACGAAGCTTATTCATGGCCACTTCATGAGCTTCACGACTTCGGATCAGCTCAGCATCCTTATCGGATCGATCCTTGCGGACAGCTTGAAGCTCAGCCTTTAACTTTATCAGCTGCTCGTCTTTTTCCTTTGCGACATCGGCAACTTTGGCCAACTGAACCGACAAGAGGTCATGGGCCAGCATAAGGTTCTCTCTCTCAGTTTTAAGTCTGCCCACCTCGGTTTGTGCTGCCTGCAGCTGGGCATCTTTCTCCGACAAGGTCGCCTCATAGCGAGACTTCTCGTCTTCCAGGGATGCTATAGCGCCTTCCTTCAAGCTCAGCTCATGCTGTTTTTCGTCCAGCTCGTGCCCTCTACCTCGGTAACTTTCTTCGGCAGCAATAAAGCTGACCAGTGCCCGTCCTAAGCAGCCTCGGGCATAGCTGAATTTCTGGTCATCAGGCAGAGATGCAATCCCGGCATGAGTTTTTGGATCCCACGACATCAAGGGAACCTTTGCTTCCTTCACCACTTCAGCAAGAACCCGATGGTTAATTGTAACTTTTGGTTCGACGACTGTCTGGAACATCGCGAACCAAGGATCGAACACCCCTTCCGGCAACGTCAATTCCGCTGCTTTCTTCTCGTTGATCTTAAGGAACGAGTCCCTCAAGATGATCTCAGGCTCTTCCTCCTTATCCTTACCAGCGCCGGTGTTCGGTTTTTTCTTCATCCTTTCGGCTACGTGAGATACACTAGATCTCTTACGCCGCTGGACTACATTCAGAAGCGGTTCTTCCGACACTTCCCGTGAGATGTCGGTCACCACAGCAGGCTCCTCCACCGACGTCATTACTTGTTGGAGCGGGGCGACTTCAAGCGGTGGGACCTCGGTAACCGCCACCTCATTAACGACCGCCGGTGTCGGTACCGCCGGTGTTGGCTCCACTCTTGTAGATGATGGCTCACTAACAGAGCTCTGGAACGGTTCGGGTTCTTTTTCCATGATTTCAGAAGGTTCATGCGTCCTGCCATTTC